CCGGCGACGAGGGGGGGCGCAGGTGGATGGCACGATCGAGCCCGCATCTCGGCGTTCCACTCCACACCCCCTGGTCCACACAGCAAATAACCAGGTTTTAGACCAACCACAAGGAGAATGGAGGCTGGCACAGCCGAAGCCGCACCACATTTAGCATAAGGAGAAGTTTTTAGACAACTGATCATAAAATGATGCAAAATCGACCGACCGCCCTGCATTAATCATCTGCAAGCCTGAGGGTGAGACGTCAGCTGCTGTCTACTCTAATACTGCGCCCCAGAAACAGGAGTCAGGAAGACGACGTCGACTGGTCAGCTGTAACTGAAACTAAAAGCACAAGCGGCTGGAAGCTAGCTTTGCCAAAGCCGTGTGACCGGCCAGGCCGGAGACGCGTGAGGGTCTCGATAGTGATAAGCCAATAGACGATTAGTATCAAGACCTACGCGAAGTAAATCACACTTACGAATACATAATATATATATATATATGGTCAGTTAAGTTTTTCTGGTCTCTAACACCTTACAGGAGAAGGCTGAACAGAGGGAGGCCGGCGTACTGGAGCTGCAGAGAATACTGCGCGGTCGTGCTGTCCAGACCATGATGTGCGAATCTCGCATGAAACGCAAGGACCTGATTGATGAATTACGTTCCACCCACGCCCTCCTAAATGATGACAGGGCTGAAAAACGTCGCCAGATGATTTTAATTCGCACCAACCAGACCAGGTTTGCCACGCTGATGCATGAGGTATGCATTAACTTACTGTCGTTGCATGCGCTGTGTCCGAGTTTTTTTACTATCTTTTGCAAGGCTATTTTGACTTTCTTTGAGCAATCCTTACCGGATAATTCATTTGGCTGACTTGTTAGCATATCAGCATTCATATTAATGGTAGCCGTCTGGCCAATTGGTGGTGCCTAAAACTGGGCCCTTCTAGCTTGCTCTGCTTTTTGGAATTAAATTCCATGAGGACTAAGCCAAAAGAAGTATTTCTAGAAGAACGTCATGACACCAAGACGGCAATAGGTTGACAGTATCATCGTCGCCGTAATTCGAGTATTAAGTAGGTCTCAGCATTAACTTCCGGTCGATATT